ACAGTAAATAGTTCTAATTTACTTTTCAAAGCAGGTAAATAAAGAATTTTACTTACCTGGCAAACCAAATACTAGAATGATATACAGCCAGTCTTCAGAGCATGTAATACAAGGTCCTTTTTTCACAATGTGATACAACACATGGGCCTCTTGTTAACTCACTTGGCCCATCTTGTTCAATGTTCATGCCAAAATGATCACGTTTGTTACATTATATATTTGCCATGAAACTCTAGCAGGATTCATGGAATATATTTGTGGCCAATTGGCATTCATACTGACATGAACATTGAAAAAAATGCCATTCAGTCCTTTTGAGGTATTATAACAGATGTATTACCCAGTCCTTTTGAGGTATTATAAAAGATGTATTACCCAGCTGCCAGGACTCCTTTATTTGGCTGGATTTCAACTATCATCCCCTTATTGAATTGATAAATTGAAAATTTTAAAATAAGTGAATTTTAGTGCCATCTCCCACCATGGTAATATGACATCATTATTATGTCTTTGATGATTTTAATAACCAATGCGAACATTAATATCAAGTAATGATGGGTAATTTTTGCAAGAAAATATGATCTGCATATAAATATGATTGTAGTTATATATGTAATAAAAGCAATACAACACATATTCATAAGGCCAATGCACTTAATGTGCAATCTGAGACACCAGACGCACATGTGTAATGCGTTTCCTATATAATTCACATACTTTTTCAAGTGTCAGATATTGTGAAAATCATAACTCTGTAACATATTCACTTTGTACAATGTAAGAATCAGGCATCTACACAAAAGCTGGACTCATCTCTAATGAAATAAAGTCCATGCCATCTGTATTGGATTTTGGGAAATCTTCTTATCTATAGCTAAATAAAAACCTTGATATAAGTGCTTAACTTTGGTCATCATGTTTGTTTTCAAGAAAAGTTTGGGTTAATTTCAAAGAATCGTTTTCATTTTTGTCTCGCCGCCTACCTTTCATGGTCCATTGACTTTGTCAAAATCTCCATCAACATTAAGTTTTTGCGTTTAAGTTAGTTTCTCTGAAAGAATAAGTGCTACACCAACCTAATTTGCACCATCTATGTACCTGAGGTAGTACATCTCAGCCCATACATCAAATGCTGGATGCGGCCTACCTTTCATGGTCCATTGACTTTTGTCAGCATTTCCATCAACATTAAGGTTTTGCTTTTAACTTAGTTTCTCTGATATGTACATTGATGGTCAAAGCAGGGCATAGGCGAGACATATCAATCCAAATGGCTCGTTAATGAAAGCTAAATTTAATAATTGGTGAGATTTAGAAAATAATTATGACTTTTATAGTCAGATGTTCCAGAATTTCACTGGTTTTACTGGTAATAAATGATTGTAGAATTATTCATGTACAAACTTATTAATACCATGAGCTTGAATCATTACAGCAACATCAATGGTACGTGTTTTTCATGTCATGGTATACATGTTGGACCATTGTATATCATTGTATAGAAAGATCTGCTGATCACAATTATTGTGTAAAAATGTTGTTTTAAAAAGACACAAAACTTAAAACTTTGTTCACTTTGACATAAAGCAGAAATGCCTCAGTCAGACATATATCAAAGTGCTATTTATATATAAATATACAAAGTGCTATTTATATACCCCAGATATGTTTATCTACAGCATAACAAAACCCAGATCTTTTTACTTCCTGATTGTTTGCAACAAAGAGGCCAAACATATGGTAATTAGATGGCACAGTCTATATTTAGATGCCATTTGTACTTGGGTATAATATGTGTAATATATATTCTAGGTCACTTGTTTATGTAGATTCAAGTGACATAAGTAAAGCATTTGATCGAGTATGGCATTTGGGCCTATTATATAAACTAAAAACATATGGTATTAAAGGTAAATTATACGATCGGTTTAAAGCTTACTTATCTGACAGAAAAGAAAGGGTTATCTTTGAAGGTTATAAATCTAGTACCAAACCTATTTCTTCAGGGGTTCCTCAAGGATCTGTCCTTGGTCCCTTCCTCTTTCTTCTTTTTATTAATGATATTACTAACAATGTAACCTCTCATATAAAACTCTTTGCAGATGATACCTCTCTCTTTGTAATAGTAAATAATAACAATGACCTTATAACACCTACTAACATGCTTAATGATGTTCTTGACTCAGTTTCTGAATGGTCAAAGGAATGGCAGATCCTATTCAATCCGAATAAGACTGTAGCTATTAACTTCTCTCGTAGACACATTAACAATCATCCTCAACTGCTATTTAACAATACTCCAATTGCACAACATGAACACCCTACTCACTTAGGACTAACATTTAACAGTAAAGGGACATGGTCAGATCACATTTCAAATATTTATAAAAAAGGGAACTCTAGACTAAGTATTCTTAGAATTTTAAAAACTACAGGTGATATACATTAAAAACATTATATGTCTCTTATATAAGACCTGTGCTAGAATATTCTGATATAGTATGGGATAATTGTACTAAATCTGAATCAGATCTTTTAGAATCAGTTCAACTAGAAGCTATGCGTTTAATTACTGGCCTCAGACGAGGTACATCTCATCATATTCTGTATACTGAAACACAACTTGAAACATTACACACACGAAGACAAAATCATAAACTAACATTAATGTATAAGATTCTTAATAATTACACTCCAACTTATCTCGATAATATCATTCAACCATTTCTAAATGTAAATAATAACTATACCTTCAGAAATAACAGATTCTTTAATATACCACAGACAAGAACTACTACTTATATGAATAGCTTCTTCCCTTCTACAATGGTAAAATGGAATGCACTTGATAGCACTGTACGAGACTCCATCTCAATTTCATCTTTTAAAAAGAAACTTAAAAAAACCTTTGATACATCCGTCTCAGAAACTTTTATTAACTGTGTTCCGAGGAAACTTAACATAATTTTATGTCAGCTAAGAAATTTTAAAAGTGATCTTAACTGTGATAAGTTACAAGACCATCTGATTGATGATGCTTCCTGTGTATGTGGTGTACAGAGGGAAGATCTAATACATTTTTTCTTTCAATGTCCTCTGTATTCTAATATTAGGCATCATATTACCACTATTTATAATCTAGTAGGATATTTAAATCTGCACTGTTTAGTATATGGTATTAGTAATGCATCGGACCAATTAAATAAAACTATTCTTATACATGTTGACTCTTATATTAAATCATCAAAACGTTTCGTTACTTATACGTGCTAGATAAATTCCAAATGAATATTCATGTAATTGTTATTATTATTGTTATTCGGGCAAGTTATGTCCCTTAAATAATGAGTATTAGACATAAGCTGGTGTGGGTGTGGGTGTGCATGTGTGTGAGAGGAAACGAATCACAACATTTTATATATTTAAGCATTGTACATAGCTACCGGAAATACCAGAAAGACTGATATAGACAAAGCCTGTTGTCTTATTCTTTTGTCAATACTGTTCTAATATCTTCTTTAATGTTAACTTATATGCTTGTATTATATATGTATTGTCAATAAAATACTTTTGAAATTGTAATTGAAAAAAATAGATTAAAAAAAGAATGTGTATATTTACATCTTTTAAGTCACACATAGGGTAGAGATTCAGGTCTGCTGAGGAATAATTGTTTAGGAAGTGTTTAACTTGTGATGTTGATGAGGAGGAGGTGGCAGCCCCCCTCATTATGTCCTGTCCTGATACAAGTCTCCCATGATAGGAACCTTTCTGTTGGAAAGGATGTAACATTGACCGATCCTAAATTAATCTTCTGTAATTCACCTTTAATATATGAAACTTCGGTATGCTGTAGTTAAAGTATCAAATTAGGATTCCCCTGTAGATGTCAATTAAATCCTGATGAAACATTCAGAGATTAGTTGAGTTTTAATTTTGTTCTAACAAGGTTAGAAAAAAAGTTAAGTTTAATTTAAATTTGTAACAATACCTAGCAGACCCACTGTAAAATATTGGTTTCTTAAAGACAAAATATTTCAGAACCTGGTTTTCATAAAGTTGGTATGGGAACTGTTGTAATCATGGTAATGTTTGGGTCCTAACTTCATTGAGTATCTTCTGCAGGGCCTCACTGAGTACAGCTCATCCAAAGTGTATAATGTTTACATGGAAAATATTATGATTGCTGGCTGGGGGTGTAACAACAGCAGTAATTGATGGAAGTGTATACAAACAGACCAATTCTCTCAACAATCAAATGTTTCTATCTGTTTGCTGCAGGATGTGCTGGAGGAAGTGGGTCATATACGTGGGCAAAAATATATTCATTCTACCACAACCACTATATATGTTAGGTGTCTTCACTCACAACTTGCTGGATAAACCTGCTAGGAGTTGATAAACATTTTGATTACGCACTAGTGGGTAATACACTGGACGTTATTTAATTAGTCAATCTTTGAATTGTGATATCATGTAATAAAGTTTTGTGCCATTATCGTCTATTTCGATGCCATGATTCAGTGCAATATTTTCCCCCGATTGGAAGCAGGAATAATTCATTTCACTTGGCAATTTGAAAATTACCCTATAATGACAGTGAGATTAACATAATGGTCAGCCATCACCTGTTGAGGAACCCTTATATCTATATCTATCTACCTAACACTTAAACTGTACATATATAAATACTGTGATGCAGTAATCTAACAAATTACACAATGATTAAAACAATAAAATAATATAAAAAATGGTTATCTATATGGGACTTGAGCAAGTCTCTACTCTATGTATTTGATACTATCAGTGCCAAAACTTGTCCAAGTCTATCTTGTATAGGGACCTGTACAAGTCTGCCCTGTGTGTGTTCTATACAAAAACATTATTTCCATTGATGAGTGCCAAATATTTCCAGACACTTGATCAGTGTTTAACTTCCACTTGTGGTATGTAAAACAGCTGCTTCCTACTTCTATTGTGTATCTATTGGGGTGTTACAGGTCGTTGGATACTGAAGTGGACATAGAGACTGACCAGGGTTCAATGGAGCTGGTATGGGACAGTGTGAGTGACCAACAGATGTTAGAGCTGGACATTGAGTGCCTGGAGGCTCTCATTAGGACCAGATAATACACCTGTAACACAGAACACAACCCCTGACAGTGTGGAATAAGGACCATAAAATAACACACCTGGCCATTTACCTGTCCAAGCATTTGAATACTTTTTTAAGGTATTTCTAGGACCACCTGGAGATCAGGGTCCACTCTGCTGAGGATGCCATGGTTAGCCTTGTCTGTGGAAATAGGGATGAGTGGTCATAAGTGTTACCAGAAGTTATGTGTACTTGGAACTGAGTATGTAGGTGTATCGCTGACCACAGGTATATGAGCCAATTCAGGTTTACCTCACTCCTACATCTGACCACAGGTATACATACCTGATATAGCCTTAATATGGCTCAGATGTTACCACACATTTGTTCTTGACCATCCTGTCTTCTATATATGTACAGGATTCTTGTCTAGCCAGTGGGTTTCTGAAGCTATAATGTTTGTTGATGTGAACAAAACAAAAATGGTAGATCTAGGATGGACCAGCTGGGACCAATGATCTTATATACCATACATACAAGGCTTTCTAAGGATGTCACAGATTATATGACAGGTATCAACTCCTGAGGGAGATAATCTGAATATTTTCCAAATGGGTCTCACTCAGATTTTTTTTTAAACATTCACTGCTTGAAAACATGGTGACATGTGTTCAACAGGAATGATGAAAATTCAATGGCCAATATTTGCATTAAAAATAATTAAATTAATGATAAAAGCTTTTAAATTATTGGCCAATAGGTTAATTCACATGTCCATATACAGGTGAGATGACTATACCCCCGTATATATATTATATATGTATTCTGTTAAGATGGAGAGACACAGCACTCTGTTGTATATGCAATAAAAAAGAGTTATCATTTTTAAACATATTTCTGACTTGGAGTTGTTTGTTCATCTTTGTAGTCGTTATAATTTTACAAAAGAACATGTCCAGCTTTGGGATTTGATTCCTGGACCTGTTGATTATAAAGCAGAGGACTTGTATCCACTGTGTTACAGTCATTGTATGAGTATAGAGGTCAGGAAACAACATCAGTTTAACAGGAAAATAATTTTATGAAGGCCTGTATACAGTAGAAAAGTGATCGAGCTCGCTGTATTCATATATTATACAGATCCTACTACAAAAGTGTACCTGACTGCAGTCAGATATAAATATAAACTACATTTTTAACTGCCACCCTAATGCAATATATCCATGTTGTATCATGTGTGTGTAGATTTAAAGGTGTGTATGTAGTGTAGCTATCAAGCCTATCAGTTTTATTCATACATCTGGAATTTTTCACATGCAGTGTCACTGTATTTTTAAACTTCTGTGTGTAGGTGTCCAACTAGTACCTACATGTACATGTCTGCTCGGTCTGTTACTATATCTGTTAAGAGAGATTTCATGTTGTATATTTGTACAACTCATGATAGAAGATTTTTTTTCTGTTACGCTGCAATAAAAAAAAATGATGATTTGTGTAAATTTGAACAAGATTTAGTGTTTTGCAGTCTGCTGGAAACAATAAAATTGTGAAAAACACTCAGAAGTTTCAAGTTATACAGTTTTCAGTTTAGACAGGTTTCACTTGGTGAAATATGATATTCCTCAACAATGTACAAAACAATTCTGTATCTGTTGCACAAGCACTCATAAGAATGACACTAAAAGTTTAAATGTAGGAGGTTGGACACCTCTTTTTCTAGACGATTCTCCACCTGTTGTACAAACAACCTTAAATACTGCAGAGAAATATAAAACTGAGAAATTAAACTGCCTTCCATGAAATCCTTTGGAATGTTAAGACTTGTTCAATGTTAATGCCAAAGGTCATGATCAGTAGCTGAACAAAGTCGGACAGACTTCCATATGATGTGCTGTTGGAAGGTTCAGACTTGTTAACTGTAAAGGTTAAAGGTCATGATCAGTAGCTGAACAAAGTCAGACACATATGATGTGTTGTTGGAAGGTTCAGACTTGTTAGCTGTAAAGGCCAAAGGTCATGATCGGTAGCTGAACAAAGTCAGACAGATTTCCATATGATGTGCTGTTGGAAGGTTCAGACTTGTTAACTGTAAAGGTTAAAGGTCATGATCATTAGCTGAACAAAGTCAGACACATATGATGTGATGTTGGAAGGTTCAGACTTGTTAGCTGTAAAGGTAGTCAGACAGACTTCCATATGATGTGCTGTCGGAAGGTTCAGACTTGTTAGCTGTTAAAGGCCAAAGGTCATGATCAGTAGCTGAACAAAGTCCGACAGATTTCCATATGATGTGCTGTCGAAAGGTTCAGACTTGTTAGCTGTAAAGGTAGTCAGACAACAAAGTCCGACAGATTTCCATATGATGTGCTGTTGGAAGGTTCAGACTTGTTAGCTGTAAAGGTAGTCAGACAGACTTCTATATGATGTGCTGTTGGAGGGTTCAGACTTGTTAACTGTAAAGGTTAAAGGTCATGATCAGTAGCTGAACAAAGTCAGACAGATTTCCTTATGATGTGCTGTCGGAATTAGGTTCAGACTTGTTAGCTGTAAAGGTAGTCAGACAGATTTCTATATGATGTGCTGTTGGAAGGTTCAGACTTGTTAGCTGTAAAGGTAGTCAGACAGATTTCCTTATGATGTGCTGTCGGAAGGTTCAGACTTGTTCACTGTAAAGGTAGTCAGACAGATTTCCATATGATGTGCAGTTGGAGGGTTCAGACTTGTTAACTGTAAAGGTTAAAGGCCATGATCAGTAGCTGAACAAAGTCAGACAGATTTCCATATGATGTGCTGTTGGAAGGTTCAGACTTGTTAACTGTAAAGGTTAAAGGTCTTGATCAGTAGCTGAACAAAGTCAGACAGATTTCCTTATGATGTGCTGTCGGAATTAGGTTCAGACTTGTTAGCTGTAAAGGTAGTCAGACAGACTTCTATATGATGTGCTGTTGGAGGGTTCAGACTTGTTAACTGTAAGGGTTAAAGGTCATGATCAGTAGCTGAACAAAGTCAGACAGATTTCTATATGATGTGCTGTTGGAAGGTTCAGACTTGTTAGCTGTAAAGGTTAAAGGTCATGATCAGTAGCTGAACAAAGACAGATTTCCATATGATGTGCTGTTGGAGGGTTCAAACTTGTTAGCTGTTAAGGCCAAAGGTCATGATCAGTAGCTGAACAAAGTCAGACAGATTTCCATATGATGTGTTGTTGGAAGGTTCAGACTTGTTAGCTGTAAAGGTTAAAGGTCATGATCAGAAGCTGAACAAAGTCAGACAGATTTCCATATGATGTGCTGTGGGAGGGCTCATACTTGTTAGCTGTTAAAAGCCAAAGGTCAACGTTACTTATGATGTGCTGTCGGAAGGTTCAGACTTGTTAGCTGTAAAGGGAGTCAGACAGATTTCCATATGATGTGCTGTCGGAGGTTTCATACTTGTTAGCTGTAAAGGTAGTCAGCCAGATTTCCATATGATGTGCTGTTGGAGGGTTCATACTTGTTAGCTGTTAAAAGCCAAAGGTCAACGTTATCAACAAATGCGTAAGGTGGCTTTTAGTTTGTGCGTTTAAGTATTTTAAAGTATTTAGTATCTATGATAACGTTTTGGTGAAGTAACACTTATCACAAATTGTAGCCATGTAGAGGTGTTATGTGTGGTAAGAGTGATGAATAAAACATCCGACATTGATTAGCACTGCAGGGATCATTAACATTCAATGTAAATGTACTTGTGGAGGTATGGGTTGATTCTTTTGGGGGTGTAATGTTCCAGATTGTTAGATATGTTTTGGACTTATTAATTTCTAGGGATATTGATCGTGACCGATAGTTTTATTGGTTCTGACAAGGTTGTACTTTGTATACCTAACCCATATCTATAGATATGACACAAGTCATTACACTAGATAACTGTAAGAAGGTCATAAGTTGATCACAACTAGAACTATCTAGGTCAACTATGTCATTAATGTTAAAAGAGTGAGATTTAAAAGACCTCTTCCTGATGAAACATTTTAGTTTTCAGGGTGACCTTCGTTTTGTTGACTGTACAAACAAAATTTGCATGAACTTCTGATTTAACTGTTAGGCTATTTTGAGCGAGTATAATAACAGTAGTAGCCTCGCTACTTGAGTATGGCCGACACAAGTTTGTACCCACAATAAAATTTGTGAATGACAGTCAGTACCTGTGGAATGATGGGTGTTGAATCCCACTTAAGGGTAGATAAGTCGCTAGGTACACAGGTATGGGTTGAGGTACGCAGGTATATCTGGCCGTGAAGGTAAACAGACTGCTGAGACCTGGGCTCACTCATCAGTTAACGACCCAAATAGCATCTTATTATCCCTACACTAGTAACTGCATGTCCCTCCATCATGTACCTGGTGCTGTAAGTGTTGTCTAGTCTCCTACTGCTACCACAATGATTTATTATATTACCTGATTTACCTGAAAGACTAAGTAGTCGTATGCTAGTGCAGCAGCATCCATCATTCTGTCAGGTTAACATTTAAACTTCCTCTTAAAAACAAATTTTAACTAAAATTTCACTTTTAATTTGAATGTTGTTCAGACTAGCACTAGATATAACTGTTTTTAAGACAGTGTATAATCTCAGCACCAGGTATTCATTCACTAACTCCTCAGCATGCCCCACCACATATCTATCCAACATATAAGCATTCACCCATCAATAGAGATGTTGAATAAAACACTATCTTATATATATTACCTCAGCACTATGTGTCTAATCCATGATACATACAGAATTTTTCCCAGAACATTAATTTGCTTTTGCTGAGGAAACCATTGTTATGTAAAACCAAAGACTGAATCTCTGGAGCGGCTACATAATAGAGGCTTTTTTCAACCGTTTCTGAAGTCAAAAGATGCAATATTTGAATGTAAAAATATTTCATATTGCATAGAGATGAATCCATGGAACTTCATTTCATAATCTTAAAAAATATATATATATATAGTTCTCTTTGCTATCAAATCCAAAGTTTCATTGAATGTTTAATTTTCCAGAAAAAAAATATATGTTTTTTCCATATTTTCTGTACATAGTATTATGTAGAATCTACTTCAGGGCAACGCAGTCATTTAAAATGTAATTAACCAGAATAACTTTGTGTCTGACCTCTGATCATGATTCAGTCTGGTATGGGAGGGGCTCCTAGAACACCTGAATAATATACAGCCCAAGTGATAGGTCCACTTCTAAAACTACAAAAAATATATAAGTTTGTTTGCAAATGGTCTTAATACACACTATCATACAAGATTTAGTTTGTTATCCATTGTCCAAAGGATATATAATGACCATTGTAGTTTCAATTTCCATGTTAGACGAAGTATTTTAGTGTGGTCATATGCAGGCCATTTATGCCTGTAATATGCTTGACAAAAATTGTATTATGCAGAACCAGTTTAGTTAAGTAATGTATCAAAATACAAAAAAGTCTGACTTGTCATATTTGCATAAAGCGAGGTTGATAATTTATGTAGATTATGGAGATATAGGGTACACACTGATAATTAGGGTCTCGCACTGACAACAGGGATGTACTGACACAATTCTATACACTACACTTGTCTGGGGCTGACATCTTTGTACCTGTATGAATTCCTAAGTTATGTGTATTATTTATTTCCTACAGATTACTATCTCTGATACCGACTACTTTTAAAATCCCTCTTATTTTATGTTGGCAGAGAGACAATATTAACTCTAAAATTATTAAAGATTTTATCAATTAAACTTTTACACGGAAATAGAAATGGGAATAAATATGTATTCTGTAAATGGAGTATCAGAAATAACTAAGTTTTTTGCTTGCGTGAATAGCTGACCATTCATTTTGTGACTGTGCATTTTGCGCGTAGTGTTTTTTTATGCAAACATT